GTCTTAGGCCTCTGTCAACGTATTCAATCGTTTCAATTTTTAATCTGTTTCATTTGTTTGTAAGATATACCGGTAGGTATACATGGGATTTTATTCTGATACACACAGACACACTCACACACATATTCTTCAGACAATAATTCCACGTGTTTAAACTTTTCCCTGATATCAATGATCGGGTCATTGCAGATGTCGATTTACTTCACCAATGCTCGCCGTCTTTGTTGTCAAACTTTTTTGTGCGTGTAATATTTTGCCTCGTAAACGATAAACTTCTTTAAAATATTGTTGTTATTGTTGCTGTTGCTATTTGTGTCTATACTGTTGTTATACCTACATTTCACCTAAAAAAAAACAGTATGGTCTTTAGAATGTGCCCTAATTTTACTGACTTTACCCTTCAGGCTACTACAATGCAAAGGCAATGCCAAGTAGCGGAGCAGTAAACTTCATGCAGTCGTATTTGTGTGATCTTGAGACGGCTTGTATTCCAGGAAACAGTAGCACTGTAGAAAGCAATGCTGTTCCTAGCTATGCAGGAGCAAGGTAATTTAAACGTTGGCTTTCAACAACGATAATGATTATTTTTTGAAATGAAAATATTATTTCTTTCATTTTAATATTTTCATTACTAATTGCTTTTATCAATATGAAAATTCAACATTAATATTAAGATCAAGCATATGTATATGTAGGTGTGTATGTGTTATGTAGGGGTGTGTGTGTGTTTTGTTTTTTTTAAATATATATATATATATATATATATATATATATAACTATTATTGATGTTTTTTGTTGTTAAAAAGATTATAAAAAAATAATAATTTGATAGTAGTAGTATTGTCATAGAATTATACTGAAATATAAAAAAAAATAAAATTTGCAAAGGTAAGAACTGGTATAAATAAAACACAAATGTGATGAAAAGAACTTGGAAAAAAAAAACTTTAAAATAAAAAGAAATAGTATACTGTATTTAATGAAGATTCATTTAATAAAGGTGGTGGTTACGCCGTGAAAGAGAGTGAAAAAAATATCAAGCATTTAAATATTAATTTCAATTCGTATCAAAAACATTTTGTCACAGTGTCTCTCAAGTATTCGATACGCTTGAGCCAATTCTCAGTAACGAGAATGTCACGGATTCTTTAAATGATATATCTGGGAGCATAGAAACACTGATGGGCCTAGCAAACGCCCTTGAAGCAGGCATAAACGTCACAGGTAGGCCTATGAATAAATAGTCTTCTTTTGATATTCTATTGTTATTTAATATCAATTTTTACATTAGCTATAGTCATTTGATGAAATATCATTGCCTTGGTCAAGTACACAACAACGTTTTAGGATGTGTTTTTTGTAATTATCATCATCATGTTCATTATCATCGTCCTCATCGTCGTCGTTTATGTCATTGTCATTGTCGTCGTCTTCGTCTTCCTTTTCTCGTTATCATTAATGTCTTTACTTCTAATCATCATCAATATTTCATCATGATTCATTATCATCATCGTCGTCATCTTTTCCTTTTTCACCACCATTGCCATACCAGATTCAGCATCACCATCATCGGTATCATTTTCATTATCATTAACAGCCCATTTATGATTATCATTTTAATATAGTTATCATTATCATTGCAGTTATCATTTGCATTATCATCAATATTATTTCCTTTAAAACATCATCATTATCATCATCATTATCATTATTATTAATAATATTATTTACCTTTCGATAGATTAATCAATACGACGGTCTTATATGGACTTTCTTATATCGTAATTGTGTCTAAACTGTGTTAAATTTTACTTACATTATTGCTAATTTAGATATTGACTACAGAGTTGGAGATTTATTCAAGAACGAATCACACGTGGCATGGTTTTTAGAAAATGTAATAGAACTTGACCCGGATGTAGTAGATGCATTTTTAAATTCCAGTATCAACATCAATCAGGTAAACTCAGAGTCAGAAATAACCATAACCACATAACCACATCGTCTACAAAATCGCCTCCTCATCATTTTCAAAGTCGAAACCTTTGACAGTCATGTTTAATCAAACTGAAACTTAACTAGATTAACAAAGGAGAGCGTAAAACGGTATTAGCGTACATAATTAATGTACAAGTGAACCCAAATTTGTAAAACAAAAATCTACCAGATATATTTACTCGGTAGAATTTATCCGTCCACACAGTCAATACACTGTTGCTATGAGAACATTCTTTGCACATACAATGTAAACCTCAACAATTCCACCCTAATCATAGTCAGCACTATGTAAAGGCATAGTATTAATTTGTGTACGCTATAAAGTGTATTCCAAAATTAGTTATTATTAATTAAAAGAATAACGATTTTTTTTCTATAAATATAGTTATTGGAACTGACGGGATACGTCGATTTTTATCGCATCACGTGCAATGAGACAGAATTGATGAAATACCTGAGTTTCCCATACGGGTCTGATCCTAGACAAATTTCCAAGGAACTTTGTAGAATCAACGTCACATCAATCCCAGCTATCATTGGAGAGTTTCAGGAACAGCTGAACATAGAATACCTCCTTTTACAGGTGTGTAAACTGCTGGTTTTTCGTTCAAATCATAGGGAATAATAGGGACAATCTGTTTTGATAACAATTAATGTACAGGCACTGTTCTGTTATTAAAGCTATACTTATACTTATGTAGCTTTCAAAAAAATAAATTAAATTTTTAAGCTTCCAAACAAAACAAAAATAGAAAATAGGCCTATTAGGTTTGCTATTAACAGACGCATAAAAAATATCAAGATAATAAAATTAAACTACTTAAGGCCTATAAGTTAATGAATGATATTAATAAGTAAAAAGATAATCATGCCTTTGTTAGTCTTAAGGTCTGAGGTTAAACAAAATATGTCCTCACTAATTAAGGAATTGAGTATTAGTATTATAGTATTGTGTTCTGATACATAGACCCTTATAAAATTGTCTTCTATCAATCAATCAATCAATCAACAAGGATTTATATATCGCCAATATCCACGGAAGAATGCAATGTTCAGTGGGGCT